TCAAAGAGGCCCTCAAGAGGCCTCACGAGCCTCTCCCCCCCAGAGGCAGCCAAGACGCTCCAAGAGGTTCCCGGGACTGCCAAGAGATGTCCAAGAGGCCTCCAAGAAGCGACCAAGAGGGGCCCCAGAGGGCCCCAAGAGGCGATTTTGACGGTCCCAGAGGAGGCGGCTAAAGTCCCACCAGCCTTTTAGGGCGTGAGTGGTTTTGATACCCCCATCTTTCAAGCTCCTTCTTCCTCTTCGGTACCCCCTCCCCATAGACCTGGACGGGGCTTTTCGCGAGCGGTCAGAGCGTCCAAGATGGCCCAAGATGGCTCCAAGATGACCCCAAGCAAGCTAAAGATGGCCTCCAAAATCGCTGAAGGTAGCCCAACATGGCCAAATGTAGCTTGCAACTGATCTCCAAGATGCCTCAAGATCCCTCCAAGACGGCTCTAAGTGGCCAAAGGGCCTCTCAAGGACGCCCTGGAGAGGCCAACAACCGCCCAAAACCTAATAAAAATCACTGCTGTTGTTTGCCTTCTCGCCTTTCCGCTTCCGATGAGCTTCTGAAGTCTCGAGATTCTCGAGATTGCTCCGGGATGGACCCAGAGATCCCCAAGAGGGTCCAAGAGAGGCCCAAGAAGGCCCCAAGAGCGCCCAAGACCGCTCCAAGAGCGTCCCAAGAGAGCTCCAAGAGGCGATTTGAGGGTTCCGACGGGGGAATCCAAATTGACGCCGCCTTCTTTGTTGGTCGATGACCTCCAAGATGGCTTCAAGAGCGCCCCGAGAGGCCTCCAAGAGGCTGAAATCTTTCTAAAACCTTAATTCGCCGGCCCAACGGGCCAGAGGCGTGCCAAAATCTCTGGTAATTGGTAAACTATATTTCTGGGCCACAGGGCCAAGCTGCAATGCAAGCAAAAACATGTTTTCTCGCCTCGCACGAGGAATCCAAAGCTGAAGCTAGAACGGCAAAGCTGCAATGCAATAAAGAATGCAATGCACAATAATATGCAATGCGAAACAAACTGTAATTCTGATCATGGTGGTTGGCGCCGTGGGCTTCAGACCTTCCCTGGACCCCCAAACCGCTCTCGCCTCGCACACGAATTCTAAAGCTGAAGATAGAACGGCAGAGCTGCAATAAAAACAAACACATGTCTTCTCGCCTCGCACGCGGCGTCCAAAGTTGAAGCATAAGCTCAAGCTCCATCCTTTCGTTTTGATGCTTGGCGTCCCGCCGTGCGCTACAACGGCTAAGAACTCTGTTGGCTCCTCCGGTTCTATTCGATTCGATGTCGATGGATTCCGATTCCGAGGCGCTTGGATCCGGGATTCCGATTTTGGGCCCCGACTTCTCATTGGAGGCATACCAGCCTGCCGATTTCTGCCGATTCGAGTCTTCCCAACAAAAAACCTCCAAAAGACCCCAAAAGGGTAAAACAAAAAAATACGCAAAAAATAATCGGAGGCAGACCCGCCTGCCGATTTCTGCCGAGTCGACTCTTCCCGACTCCGCGCCCCCCCCCCGTGGCAGCTGCTCCGGCTCCTGCTCTCTTCTCCTGCCCTCCGCCCCCGCTCCCTTTTCTCTCCGCGGTCCCGCGCTCCCCGCCCACAGTGCCATTCTCTCGTCGTCTCCGCCTCCGCGCCGCTTGTCGCCGCGCAGAATTCCGCGCTGCCCGCTCCAGTTTCGAGTCTTCTCGTTGTCTGCACCCCTGCTCCGTTTTCTCGGACCCTCTCTCGTGCTCCCTGGACCAGTTTAACCTTCTCGTCTTCGCCCCGGCTCTGGTACCTCCACCCCTGGTCCATGCTCCCCACCTCAGTTTTGAAGTTTTGCCTTTTCCACCCCTGCTCCCGTTTCCCGTTTCTCCACCCCTGCGCCGCAGTCCCCCCCCCCCAGGTCTGCTGTCTCGTTTATTTTTGTTACCTAACAGCGTAGACTGATAGGTTTCTAGTTGATTCAAAAGAGCTCACAGATCACTCCACAGGGGGGTCCGGGCAGGCGTTGGGAGTTGCCGGCCGGCAGGGTGCCGGGCCTGTGCCGGGCTCGTTTTTCACCAACAGTCACACACTTCGTGCTCGTCGACCTCTCAGAACCCCATTCCCAGGCCACATTCTGAATAACCGGATGCAACAGTCACACACTTGGTGCTCCTTGACCTCCCAGAACGCCATTCCCGGGCCACATTCGGAATAGCCGGACGCAACAGTCATACAATTCCTCGTACTTGACACCCCAGAACTCCATTCCCGGGCCACATTCTGAATGCCCGGAGCCAACTGTAGCCACTTCGTGCTCTTCGACTTCCCAGAACTCCATTCCCGGGCCACATTTTGGATGCCCGGAGCCAACTGTAGGCCACTTCGTGCTCTTCGATTTCCCAGAACTCCATTCCCGGGCCACATTTTGAATGCCCGGAGCCAACTGTAGGCCACTTCGTGCTCTTCGAGTTCCCAGAACTCCATTCCCGGGCCACATTTTGAATGCCCGGAGCCAACTGTAGGCCACTTCGTGCTCTTCGAGTTCCCAGAACTCCATTCCCGGGCCACATTTTGAATGCCCGTAGCCAACTGTAGGCAACTTCGTGCTCTTCGACTTCCCAGAACTCCCATTCCTGGGCCACATTTTCAGCAGGGGCAAGAGCACGACGAGGAGGAGGACGAGCAAGACCAGGAGGACGAGGACGAGCAGGAGCAGGACGAGGAGCAGGAGGAGCAGGAGAAGAAGGACGAGCAGGAGGAGGAGGAGGACGAGCAGGAGGAGGAGGACGACCAGGAGGAGGAGGACGACCAGGAAGAGGAGGAGGAGGAGGAGGAGGAGGAGGGAGGGGGAGGAGTACCAGGAGGAGGAGGAGGAGGAGGAGGAGGAGGAGGAGGAGGAGGAGGAGGAGGAGGAGGAGGAGGACGAGGACGAGGAGGAGGAGGAGGAGGGGGGGAGAGTACCAGGAGGAGGAGAACGAGGACCACCAGGAGGAGGAGGAGGAGGAGGAGGAGGAGGAGGAGGAGAGACACCAGGAGGAGGAGGACGAGCAAGACGAGGAGGACGAGAACGAGGACGACCAGGAAGAGGAGGAGGAGGAGGAGGAGGAGGGGAGGGGGAGGACTACCAGGAGGAGGAGGAGGAGGAGGAGGAGGAAGAGGAGGAGGAGGACGAGGAGGAGGAGGAGGAGGAGGACGAGGAGGAGAGGGGGGGGGAGAGCACCAGGAGGAGGAGAACGAGGACCACCAGGAGGAGGAGGAGGAGGAGGAGGAGGAGGAGGAGGAGGAGAGAGCACCAGGAGGAGGAGGACGAGCAAGACGAGGAGGACGAGAACGAGGACGAGCAGGAGGAAGAGGAGGAGGAGGAGGAGGAGGAGGAGGAGCAGAGAAAGAGGAGGGAGGAGGCAGGCTGAGGCTGAGGCTGTGACTGCGACTGCCGTTGCCGCTGCGACTGTCATCGCGAATGCGACTACGACTGCGAGAACAGCAGAATTCGACAACTGGATTTTCATCTGAATCTTAAGGGGAATGCTTTCAGATATGCTTCTACTCATCGCTGTTAGGTTGCTTTGCCGGGATAATTTGGTGTCCCCACCCAAGGTTCGTTTGCTCGTTTTCTCCGCCCGTGCTCCACTGTCAATCCATGCGTCCTGCTCCCCACTCTTGTGTCGTTGCTTCTCCCCTCTTCGCTCTTCTTCGTTAGTATTATTATTCTTATTAGTATGATTGATTTCCTATTTTTCTTATTATTATTCGTCTTATTCTTCTTCTTATTATTATTAATATTATTATTATTCATATTATTATTATTATTGTTATTGTTATTGTTATTGTTATTATTATTATTATTCTGTTCTTTGAATGGCCCCGGGAGAGAAAACAGACGAGGGCGAGCACGAGCAGGCGGAGGAGGAGGAGGATCCCGAGGAGGTGGTGCGTCGCCACGCACCCGTTTTGGTGGCCCCTGGGCCCGAGCAGAGCTTGTTGGGCATCGACTCTGGCAGGTCTGCCTGCATGGCCAGATCGGCCCGGGGCGAGCGGGCTGCGCCCAGCTCGGCCGCGCACGCGCGGCGCGGGAGAGGCCCGCTCGACGCCCTGCGTCGGAGAGCACCGTGGGCTTACGGTGGTAAGGAAAGCGGGGGAGAAACCGGCCGCTGGCAAGTAGCTTGGCATCGCTCGGACGTGTGCAGTTTCCCTTCGGCGAGGGCCATCGAGGAGCCTCCTCGATCATCTGGCGAACAACCCACGCACGAGACCAGCAAAAAAAAACAGGGAGAATGGACGTGCGAGCGATGGCCGGGCAGGGGCTGCTGGCACGGAGGGCGGGCCGGGCCCGGGAGGAACTCCGGGCCCCACGCAGGTCGGGGGCGGAAAGGAGGGGGGCGATGGCTAGGAGGCGGGGGTGGATCTCATGGCGGGGGCCATGATGTTTCCCCAGATCTCATGGCGCCTCCTCTTATTTAATCGCTTCGCTCATGCCGCCGGCCCTGGAGCCCTCTTTAGGGCCTCTTGGGGGCCTCTTGGGGACCTCTTGGGAGTCTCTTGGGGCTCCTTGGCGGCGTTTTGATGTTTCCCCGGATCTCATGGCGCCTCCTCTGATTTCATTACGTCCCTGGCCCCCCCGCTGGGCCGCGCACGTGCCGCCGGTCGTGATTTGCACCCCCCCCTCTCGGACACCCCCCTCTTGGCCGCTCCCGAGCAAGGCGGGAGCTCGCTTGCAGGCCTGTTCGGCCCAGCGCTGGACGAAAGGCGACAGGGGGGTAAGCACACTGTTCGAATTCAAAAGATGGCGAGCGCTGGTCGTCTGAGATCGGTCTGCTACCAGAGCTGCGACCGAAAAACTGGTTGTGCTCTGCAAACAGCTACCGGCTCTCTGGCGTGGGCGCTTCTCTTCTGAACTCGAGAGGGGAGGAGGGGGGGGAACAGGCGGCGGGGGCGAACCGCCATGCAGACAAACCCGCCCGAGCCTAAATGAGAACAAAGCCCCGAGGCCGAAACGAACGGAAAAGGCCAGGATCGGAGGAAGACCGCCGGAGGGCCAGGTATTCGCCGTGGGCGGTGGTGCCAGACCCCCGCGCCATGCAGAAGTTCGACTGGCAGGGCGTTCAGAGTCCGGGCCTGGCCATGAAGGACGGCGCACGGGCCGTTCACGGCTCGAGGAGGACGAGGTGGATCGGCACGGTCGCAATGGGTACATTACTGGGTTTCGATGGGTCCGCTATGTGAAGCGTGGCGTTCCCACACCAGAAGTCAGTGGACGTCTTGGGGTCTCAGGGTTGGGTTTCTTGTGGAAGGTTTCTTATGGTCGAGCTCCTACTGTACTGGAGGAGTGGGGTCGAAGAGTGGCACGGGTTTCTCTCCATTTGGTAATGGACTCGCTGTCGGTGCAGTGCAGCCGCGGGCTTCCTTCATGGGAGGAAGAAGGCCGCCCGCCCAACAGCGGCCGCTGTCGATGTGGGAGAACGTCCGCTGGTGGGCATCGTATCCAAGTTTCCCATACAGTGGAGACCCATGCCAAGACACACCCTGCTTGCCTCCAGGGTGCCCTGAGTTTCTTGGGTTTCTCTGGTTTTGCTATGGAAAGCGTGACGTTCCAACACCAAAAATCAATGGACGTCCTGGGGTCTCAGGGTTGGGTTTCTTGTGGAATGTTTCTTGTGGACTGGCCTCCACTGTATCTGTTTCGGGCGTCCAAAGAGGTGTGGAGGGAGGGCGGCGGGGAATGGGAGGCAGTCAGGGTTCAAACGATGGGGACGGATAAGCTCAGAGGGTCGAGGTTCGAGGTTGTCGGGCGTGTTCGGCCATTCTCGGTGGTTTCCCTGCCTCGGGGTGTTCTCCAGCAGCTGCGCCTTGCTGGGGTGCCCGCATCGTCCAGTACGGCCGCGGGAGAGCCGAGCCTGACCCGAAAACCGGGGGGCAACGTTAGGGAGGGCTCAGGGGAGTGGGGAGATGCATCGATTTCCCCTCGCCCATTGATCGGAGGAGGAGGAGGAGGAGGAAGAGGAGGAGGAGGAGGAGGAGGAGGGGGAGGAGGAGGAGGAGGAGGAGGAGGAGGAGGAGGAGGAGGAGGAGGAAGAGGAGGAGGAGGAGGGGGGGGGACGCTGGATATTGGAGACAAACAGATCAAGGATCGGTGAAAAGACCATGTCGGCCGGGACTCGCTGCCCGCCCGATACGCCTTGGTGCGTAGGGTGGCAGGGTCCTTTGTAAGTTCTTTGGTCTGCCGACTTGAATGGAACGCACAAGCGGATTGCACGAGTACGACCTGCCCAGGGTGGGTGGACACACGCTTCCCATGTGGTTTACGAGCCACGCGACCCCACCTCCCGACCACTTGCGCAATCCCCGCGCGTGGTACCCATTCCCAAGATGCGGGCGCAACTTAGGCGCCACATGCGGACAAGCTAAGAGCTGCCGCTGGCTCCGAAAACCCGACTCGGTTGTTTCTCTCCGAGGAGGAGGAGGAGGAGGAGGAGGAGAAGGAAGAGGAGGAGGAAGAAGCGACGAGGAGGAGGAGGAGGAGGAGGAGGAGGAGGAGGAGGAGGAGGAGGAGGAGGAGGAGGAGGAGGAGGAGGAGGAGGAGGAGGAGGAGGAGGAGGAGGGGGATGGGATGTGGGCGGGGGGCACAGGGGCGGGGAGAGCGAGCTGTGCCCTCCCCCCATCAGTCCCCCTTGTCCTACTCTTCTTTTTCCTGTCCTCTTCCTCCTCCTCCTCCTCTTCCTCATCTTTCGTTCGTCCCCCTCGTTGCGCTCGTCCTCGCGTTTTGCAGCCACGCGCGGTAACACCTGCACGAGCGTGCGCACGCGCACGTGTCGCACGTGCGCTCAGATAGTCTGCCTGCGCCATTTTGCGTACGCTGGAGGAGGAGGCGGAGGAGGAGGAGGATAATGATGACATTCCCGGATAGTTATTTGTTTCAAGTAAAAAAGGATTCAGAGAGAAAGCCGGCAGGCAAGGCTACAACATGTTTTCCATCACGGCTGCCAGTAAGGCGATATCGCAGCGATTTGCTGGAATCTGCAGCCTGTCATGAAGGCGTTGACCTATTTGTTCCCAGTACGTGGCCAACAAACGTTTGCGCAGTTCCTCCGCAGGGCTTCTTGAGATCGCGCGCAGCTCTTAGGCAATTCATCGATGCAGCGTTTCGTAAGGCTCGTGGGCAGAGCCTGCGCAGCTCCTGGCCAGCGTTTCCTAGGCTCGCGGGAAGCGCCCAGGCATCCCCTGGGCAGCGCTTGCTAGGCTTTCGCGTAGCTCCCAGGCAGCGCTAGGCGCCCAAGCACCTCCTACGCAATTCTTCCTGAGGTGCCGAGGCAGCTCCCAGGCAACTCGTCAAGGCCATCCTGCAGCTCCCACGCGGCTCCCAAGCAGCTCGCGTGCAACGCCCAGTCAGAAGCCGTCGGCGCCACAGCGCGCACCTGTAAGCCAGTGCGTTGTGATCCCAGCTTCGGCGTCACCCCCACATACTTCTACTGTGTGTCCGTCGCCCCCCCAGGGGCGCCGCCCGCACCGAGAAATCTTGTAGCGTGTGTGTGTGTGTGTGTGTGTGTGTGTGTGTGTGTGTGTCTCTGTGTCTCTGTGTCTCTGTGTCTCTGTGTCTCTGTGTCTCTGTTTCTCTGTGTCTCTGTGTCTCTGTGTCTCTGTGTCTCTGTGTCTCTGTGTCTCTGTGTCTCTGTGTCTCTGTGTCTCTGTGTCTGTGTGTCTGCGTGTCTGTGTGTCTGTGTGTGTGTCGTGGCGGGCGCTTTCTGGCTACACCGCTCGGGAAACGAAATGCTACAAGATGGGTATACTATATTCAGGAGGAAAAGAAACGCACAGACGCAATTAATCCTCGATGTCCCAGAATATATGGGAAGATATAGGAAGTGGGCGGGAAAACAGAAACCCAGAAAATATGGGAAACTATGGGGGAGTATTTTATTCGTGTGCATTTATTTGTGTGTCCTTGGGCCCCTTCATATATGTTCGGGTCGGACGCGCGTCTCCAAGGAGGACATAAAGTATCAGTATGCCTCTGTGCGTCCCACAGTTTGCGACTGCACGAATGCCGGCGTCGTCGCAGGAATATCGCGCGGGGACGTGCGGCCGCCGTCGGGCTCCAGGGGCCCCCGCCGGGCCCCGGGGCCGTCAAGAAACGGTTGGTCCTTGGGACCTCCTTCCCCTCCTCCCCCTCCTCTTCCTCCTCCCCCTCCTCTTCCTCCTCCTCCTCCTCCTCCTCCTCCTCCTTCTCCTCCTCCTCCTCCTCCTCCTCCTCCCCCTCAGGGAAAGGTCCTTGGCATCGCCGGGACGTGTGCGCTTCTTCCTCGGCGGGGACTATCGGGAGCATCCCGGAGCATCGAGCAGCAAAAACACGCACACAAAGCCGAACGATGCACGGGGGATGAATGTCCGAGCGACGGCAAGGGTCGGCCACGCGCAGAGGGGGGTAGGGGGAGGGGAAGCTTCTTAGAAGGCGCTGGCCTGATCTATACATATATATATATATGTATATATATATATATACAAATATATACAAGTGGCACGTGTGTGCCCAGGCTCATACAAAAAACTGAAGGGGCGTTTGAAGCAGGAGTGAAATGCAACATCGAAGTCGCACTCGAGCGCAAGTGGGGTTGCCACACCTTGCGATGTGTGTACCAGGGCCCCCCAGGAAGCCTCAGGAGGCCCGACTTGGATACCAGAAGAGGCTCCAGGAGGCCCCAGGATTGTGAGTGTTGTGCGTGTGTGTGTGTGTGTGTGTGTGATGTATGCTTTGTGTGGTGCGTGCTTTTTGTGTGTTGTAGGTGTTGTGTGTGTGTGTGTTATGTTTGTCTAGCGTGTGATGTGTTGGGCGTGATTTGTGTCTCTGTGTGCATGTAGTTCTGAAGCCCCAGGAGGCCCCAGGCGGCCTCAGGAGGCCCCAGGAGACCCCAGGAGGCTTCAGGAGGCCCCAAGAGGCTCCAGGAGGCCGCAGGAGGCCCCAGGAGGCCCCAGGAGGTTTCAGGACACCCCCAGGAGGCTCCGAGGCGGGGTCTGGGGTGCCAGAAGGTTCAGAAAGCCCCAGGAGGTTCCAGGAGTCCCCCAGGAGGCTCCGAGGCGGGGTCTGGGGCTCGATTTTGGAAGAATTTTCAAGCGAAACCGCCATTCCCTGAGAATCGGGGTCACAATTATTGAAATGACCATGTGTTTTTGAAGGTTTGATGTTAACATGTTGAAATTTTCACGTGTTTTTGGACCCTGACGTCACGATCTGCGTGAGGGGTGCCACCGATTTACAGAATTTCGAGGATGTCCCGAGCGAAACGCCCAGAAAAATCGCGGACGCGTGCGCATTAATCGCCTCTGAGCTCTACTCCCTCGGAGAGGTGCGTATGAGAATATATATATATATATATATATATATATATATATATATATATATGCATCGCCCCCCCCCAGCACCCCCCAAACCACCAAAACCACAAAACGATCATTCTGTGTGTACATGTATGTATATATATATATATATATATATATATATATATATATGTGTGTGTGTGTGTGTGTGTAGGGCTGGGGCCTTCTAAGAAGCACGGTGTTTCTAAGAGCGTCCCCTTCTCCCCCTATCCCCTTTGGCGCGCCGCCGAAGAGGGTCGGGACTTCGTGGACGCCGTCTTGAAAAATACAAGTCGTCGCATGCTTGGGGAGGGGACCTCGTGCGTCCCCCTCTTTGGAAATCGGGTGTTTCGGAGGATCGGGAGTTTGGGGCCCTTTCTCCTGGGCCCCGGAGCGGGGATCTCAGTGAGCACAATCGCGGACGGGGCCGATGCTGCTGCCGAGGACACTCGCCCCGAGGTCGCCCGGCCCGAGGAGGGGCGCCAGGAAAGCTGATGCAGCGGTTCTTTTATGCATGCCCAGATCGGTTTGTGGTGGCCTTCGGCTCATCCCATGGGCTGGAGGCCACTCCGAGGCCTCCTGGGGTCTTTGGGCACGAAGCAGGCCGGTCCTGAGGGAAACAGGCCCAGGACCCCCAGGGCCCCTGCTGGACCAGCTTTTAGTCCTGAGTCGTTTTCTGACCGTCCCGGATCCCGTGGAGGGCCGGAGGAACAGGGTGGGTGGGTGGTGGTACGGGGGGTGGGGGGGAGTGGGGGGGGGGGGGGGCAAAAATGAGAAAAATATTCCAGACCTGTCTCCCCAATGAACGTCTTGCTGCATGGCGAGGTCCGCGCCGTTTCCGGCTCGGATCTGTTGCGTTGCGTTTTGTTGTTGTTGTTGTTGTTGTTGGTGTTGGTGTTGGTGTTGTTGTTGAACATTATTAATTCTAAAGAATAATTATTGTTGGGCCCCCTGGTGCGCGCCCCCCCCGCCGCGCCTAGGCCGCAGCCACGTTTTCATCATTTTCGTGAGGAAGCCTCAGGTAATTCGAGTTGATCAAGATCCGGTTGTTTTGTTGTAATCCGTTTTCCCTTGCAAAAAACACTATAAAATGACATTTCTTGTTCTAATATAATCAAATTTCAAGAATCCCTTGCAAAAAATAAGGTAAAGTGGACATTCGCGCGCGCAAGACGAAATCCTTCCAAAAGCTTAGTGTTCGGAGCGATTTTAACATAAAAACATCAAAAAACCAATGGTTTTTCAACAAAAAAATGTCAAAATCTCATCCCGCGCGCTCTTGCGGATTCGTAGGAAACCCAACACTTTTTAAACATTTCTGTCAAACGGGCTTTTGCGAGCAACTTTTTCGAACTTCTGCGACAACGGTTGCGCACCTGCCAGGGCCATCATCCCTGTCAAATAATACCATGCGGGACACATTCGTTTTTTCTTCGCGCGCGCACGCCGAAATCTCCAAAAATCATTGAGCTTCTTAAGAATTTTAGCACCGCGCATCATAAATTCACACGAATCGCACCGTAGGTCCTCGAAAACTTCTGTGGGTTAACAAGGCTTAACAACTTCTGTGGGTGTACGAACGTAGGCTTAACTCTGTGGGTGTGTACTCCACGCCAGTGTAGTAGCCACGGTCGTCCGCAGGCCACGAAGTGAAGTGTCCGAACGTCATAGGGCGGGAAGCTGGGTGTGGGTGGTGGCGAAGAGTCGTGTGGATATTTGGTAGAGCTTGCACTGCCCCCCCACAAAGTGGGGGTATTGGCTGGCGTCGCATGAAAACCCTGGCACTGGTGAGAACACTGAGCGTTCGGGTAAAGTGATTGTTGTTGTTGTTGTTGTTGTTGTTGCTGTTGCTGTTGCTGTTGCTGTTGCTGTTGCTGTTGTTGCTGTTGCTGTTGCTGTTGCTGTTGTTGTTGTTGTTGTTGTTGCTGTTGCTGTTGATGTTGTTGTTGTTGTTGCTGCTGCTGCTGCTGCTGCTGCTGCTGTTGTTGTTGTTGTTGTTGTTGTTGTTGTTGTTGTTGTTGTTGTTGTTGTTGTTCGCCTGTGTTGGTCTGCCGTCTTTTTTTCCGTGCTGGTAACGCCGAAGACCGAACATATGAAAACGGAAAACACTTGCCCCAGCGTGTTCGGCATCAACGAAGCTCCTGCCCCCACCCTGCTCGCCTGGAGTGGCAAAGCTTCGGGCTGCGCGCCCAGAGACCCCCTCGCAGCCGTGACAGAAACGCCACCGCGGGTTTTCCACGGCCTTCGGCCTCCAGAGGCCCTCGCCGGAACTCGGGGGCGTCAAGAAGGGTTCGGGATGGACAGCCGGTCCCTGGGGTCCAGACCTCTGGGGGTTCTAAAACGACGCGAAGATCGGGACAAAATCGGATCGGGATAACTCGAAATCTCTGAGAATCGGCGGGTTTGGAGGATGTATTGGGCGCCGCGGCCGCTCCAGAGCGTTCCGGAACGCTCTGAGAGCGCTCCGGAACGCTCTGGAGCGATTTATCCCGATCCTAGCCCTGTTTTAGGTTCATGTTTTGACAAAAATCATGACGTCGGGGGTCTGGGTGCAGACAGCCCCACCAGGTAGTCCCAACTGGCCTCAAGAGGCACCCCGAGCGGCTCTGGGGTGGTCTCAGCAGCGCCGCCTGCGTTGCCACTGGGGCGCTCTGCACCCCAGGGTTGGGGTGTCGAGATCGCCTCGGCCCACTCGGGGGGCTGGTTGGGGCCACCCAGGTCTACCTGGGGA